TATCGAAAATAATGATTACTATCCGAGTTTTATTCGTAGTATTTTACAAAAAAACACCCAAACATTTTACTGATATGGTCCCCGGGCCATGCCCGTATAAAGGGTAACGAACTTGCTGATAGCACATCAAAATACGCCACCATAGCTCCTGTCTTAACAACTACTAATCCAAGTGTTAATGACATAGTTGAATTTCTCAAGAAGAAATTCATAAAACAATATCAATCTGAGACTTGGCAAAAATGCTCAACTTGGTACAAAGCGCAAAATGTACAGAGGCTTCACTTAAGCAACCTCGCAAACCATGCCGACCCATCACTTTCCAGAATGGATTTTATTAAACTCGCACGACTTCGTCTGGGACATTCAAAATTAACCCATCTTCACCTTATAGACAACAATACCCCCAGAACATGTCAGTTTCGTAACTCCGCCCCGATCTCCATTAATCACGTTGTGTCAGATTGTTATGCCTTCAATTCACTAAGAAACCATATATTTCATAACACCGACCCCGTTCAATGCATTTTCAACCCCACAATCGATAATATTAATAAAATTATAGCCTTCTTAAAAATATCCAAATTATATTACAAAATTTAAATAAATTTATCCAATAAATATATCGCATCTGAAAATTTAGAATGGAATACTAAACTACTTATAAGCACTTAGTATAAAGCTCTATTTATACATCAAAGAAGAAGCTGAAGGCCATAGCAGCCATAGCTTTCCTTACTAGGCTTATAATTTTAATTGTAAGCTTCAGTTTGTAATAAATAAATAAATNTTTAAATAAATTTATCCAATAAATATATCGCATCTGAAAATTTAGAATGGAATACTAAACTACTTATAAGCACTTAGTATAAAGCTCTATTTATACATCAAAGAAGAAGCTGAAGGCCATAGCAGCCATAGCTTTCCTTACTACGCTTACAATTTTAATTGTAAGCTTCAGTTTGTAATAAATAAATAAAAAATAGGTGATATGTTAACCATTTTTGGTTAGTTTCCTTTTACCTATTTAATGTTTGTAATTTTTTTTTTAATAAAAGTCTAGCACATTACTTAACCAACATCCCATAAATCCATATTTTAAACTTTTACAACATTTATAAAAATTCAACAAACTTTAACAACTACACCCAAAAACTTTAAACATTTTATTCAGACGCTCGACGCTATTTTGTAGCGTCTTGAAATGTGCACTTCAACCCAATAAAATTGAATGCTATAAAATTGCTTACCTAAAATATTTCTAAGAATTCTGTATAAAAAAAATTGGTGGGTGTAGTTGTTAAAGTTTGTTGTATTTTCATATTTTTGTACAAAGTTTGAAATGTTGATTTATGTGGCTATGTGAGCTAGACTTAAAAAAAAACAAATAAATAAAAATTAAATAAAGAAAAGAAAAATAGCCAAAACCGATCAAAATGTCACTTAACTTAATCAATTGACCACAAGTGTACATAAATATGTATATATTGGGTTTTAATTTGTTCTCTAACGGTTGAGAAGCTTCATTTTTTCTTGGTCGTTCCAAATTATTGGACGAGTATTTTATGACAGAAACCTTTAAAAAAAATTCATTTAATCTTAAAAAAAACTATTTCAATTTGGCAACAAAATTTACACTGTGTACTTTTCGAAAATATTAATGTTAGTAAATTCGGTGCCCACTTGAGGAAGCCTTACCCAAATGCAAAAAATTCAAATTTCGAGTATCTGGCATGCATCAGAAAAGAAAGTTGTAGGTATTGAGGTTAAATTGTTTTGAACTTGCACCTATAAAATTTTTTTGTTTTAAAGACTTGTATTAATCAAGGAATTACACGTATTGAGAGTTGCGGTTTCCGTGTACGCACTGTAAATATTTTTGAACGAAAAAAACAGAAATTTAGTTACGAACAATTATGAGGCTCAACCTATAAAAACGCGTTTTTAGACCTTAAGTCCTGATTTTTAGGGGTATTCAAAATTCTAAGTATGCATATTTTTTGTGCATCATTTGATCTGTAACTCTAGCAGACGGAAAGGGTTATTATCCCGACGAAACCTTGACGGTAGTACCGGGAGCGAAACGGTACATGACGGTTTAGTTAGAAAAAAACATGTGCATTAAAAAGGTAACTATTTAAATAGACGAATCGTTTTATATAAATTTTTGTGAACTTCTTAATACTTTCGATTGATATATAATTTTTTATTTTATTTATTTATTTCGAAGTAGATTACGTTGTCATATTTCTAGACAAGTATACTCGGAAAATATATCCTTCATCTTGGATTTAGAGATGGGCACCTTAAAAACAAAATTCTAAATTTTGGTGAATAATATAACGCTGAGAAAGATTGTTAAAACAAATTTACAACTTACTTTGATAACGAAACATTTCGTGAAATTAAATTAAAATTTCGCATACATCTTGTAAGATTTGCAATGCTCACAAACTTAGTTTTAAATGGGAAAGAACTGCAAAGATAACGTTTGGGAACATAAATCTAATCCTCTCGATAAGATACGGACATTCGAACCCTCCACTGACAATATTATATATAAATATATCTAGCAAGGGAGCTCTACGGGTTTCCAATGACTTAAGATTAATTAACATAAGACGAAATGTGTAGGAGGTTATAGGGTTCTGAAACTTCAAGGACCGAAGAACAAATTTAAGAATTACCAGCAGCATAGATAGCATATTTAAGTTGTGAACGGACAATACCTGTGAACAATAGCTTTAAGGTACATATATGGATTAGAAAATTTCGTGGGTTTACGACGCACAAAGCCAATTAAGGAGTATGATTTAGCAATGATGGAATGATATGGCTACTGAATGAAAGCTTGTGATCGAATACAACACAAAGACACTTTGTAAAGTCTCATAAGAGTTATTCGTTCATTAAACAAATGAATGCAAAATAAAAAAAACTTAGTGCGCGTAGGCTCTACGCGCGGAAGAAGTGAAGCTTAATATAGGAAATTCCAGAAGAAATAAATGTGCGATAAACATACATAACATGTGCATATTTACTAATATACAAAATATATTTTAATAACCAACTGCTAAATTTAACTGGCTAAGAAAATATTCATATCTACAATATTAACTAGTATATTGTGGTAACTAAAGTAAGATATGAAATGTTTTATTTCAATATTATTGATATTTCTGGAAAAAACCTGCATCAATGGTAGCCGCTCCTTTGGTTGTTGGATCATTTCTACAATTAACCATTTTCAGTAAAAATTTTCCTTTAACTAATCTTGTCAGTTCATCAGATTTGGCCAGCGAAAAGTTGACGTTGAAATCTCCTGCGAGAATTATAGGTCGATCATAACAGTCTACTTATCTTCATCTTCATCTTCATCTTCATCTTCATCTTCATCTTCATCTTCATCTTTATTCAAAACCATTTCTTTTGATACCCATATTGGGATACTTTATTTATTTTAATAAATAATTTGAATTTGATTTTCGTATATATGGCAACCCTTTAAAAAACTAAAATCATATTACACATCTACATGTCGAGCCCTTTCATTTGACACCCCATTCTTTAAAAACGAACGAACGATACAGACATTATGATTCGGTGTTAAATATTTAACGCAACCATCGGCGACAGAGAACATGGGGGAACTTCTTTCATGGAACTAAAGCTATGTTGCACACCCGAAGGACAAGGCATTCCATGTGAGACCTCATTTTTGAATATTGATCGAAAGATACAGATTTTATGACTTGATGTTGAATATGTAACGCAACCATTTCCGAACTCGATTAAAAAGTTTCACTTCAAAAAAATAATGGTTTTTGAATATTTAATTGAAAATATCCTGGGCAGGATCTTTCTAGCCGGCCAACTCGAGAATTATTTACTACCACGTTAAAATTCAGAAAAAATAGATTTCACCCATTAAACAGATGGGTCATGGACATGCCTTATTCGGATCTTAGACAATAAATATTCTTATTTATGAACCATTACACCTTCTTTGCATTGTAACGATATGGATGTATATTAGACTGCATCACTCCCCATACAAAAAAATCGGTACTGTTTTTCCATTGGAATTATAAAATCTATTATATTTTAAGACACAGACCAAAATTTTTCGGAGAAATATTAAGATTTAAGCGAGCTGGACCGATTTGAAAATATCTCCAAAAATAGAGTTTTCTATGAATCAAAATAGTTTCTTAAAGATGTTTTTTGAAAAAATTCCCTCAAATGACAAAACTGTTTAAGCTTAGAAAATTTACAAAAAATAAAAATTAAAAAAAAATGTTAACGGAATCGTAATAATGAGATTTTTGATGCTGTTTTTTGACTTTTTCAAAGATTGGTATAAGAAAAACTTAAATAACTGGCTGCTGTGGTGTAGTGGTAAGCAGTGCGCGCTTCCATCCCGCAACGCCTGGGTTGAAGCCCTGGTCAAAGCAACATCGCAAAAAAATATAGAAAAAGTTTTTTCTTAACAGCGGTCGTCCCTCGGCAGGCAATGGCAAACCTCCGAGTGTATTACTGCCATGAAAAAAACCAGCTTCTTATAAAAATACAATCGCCGCTCGGAGGCGGCGTTAAACTGTAGGTCCCTCCGCTTTCTGTGACAACATCAAAGCGCACGCCACAAATCGGAGGAGAAGCTCGGCCAAACACTAACATATGTTTGAGCGCCAATCTATTATTATTATTAAATAAATAAATAAATTTTTTAAGCTTAAACCGTTTTGTAATTTGAGGAGATTTTTTCAAAAAACATCTTTAAGAAACTATTATTACCTATTAATAAAAAAACCCCCATTTATGGAGGTATTTTCAAATCGGTCCAGCTCGCTTAAACCTTAATATTTTTCCGAGATATTTTGGTGGACGACTTAAAATATAATAAGTTTTGCAATTCCGCAACTAGCGAAAAACCGCAGCCTTTTTTGGAGATGCAGTCTAATGTACATCTATTTATATATGTTTTTTTTTTTAATTTTTACCGCAGCAATCATTGTAAAACTCTCGATTTCCACATCGCTGGCAGTGAATAGTCCTTGTTTCATAGCTTTTACCGCCAAATTAACTAGCGCTTGCTTGCCGTCTTCGTATTCATCCGACTCGGCTTTGAGAGAGGGATTTTTCTTGATCAACTGCAAGTTAATGAACATGAAGAACATTTGTAATTTATTCAATCGATGAATTCATTTTATTTTTACTAAGTGTTGTTGTACTTACATCGCATACTAACTCTCTTAAATATTTAAGTGTTTTTTTGTACTCTGGCGTTAAAGTTAGAAATCCCAAACCCACGGAGGAGTAAACTGAATTCTGTGCCGTACGATGAACTAAGCTGTAGGATGTAATATACAAATGTAGTAATTTATGTAGAAGGAATGGAATCGTATTTGAATGCTGACAATGTACTTACATGTTAAATGCATTCATAACCTCCTTGTAATTCTCACTTCCCTCATCAATTTTGGTGCCCATTATAGTCACTGTAATTTCATAAAGCAAATACATACATATGTATGTAAGTATTACGGATATTCATCATTATGATAATTTGATATGAGGTTACTTTTTCTGTTGTGTTCTTCACGTGTTAACTCCGACAAAAAACAAATTAAGCAATATCTGTGGCAGATTAAGGAACTATGTTTTGATTAATCACTTTTTTAAACAAAATTACACCTTGCTGAAAAAAGCTGCTTAGAAATACATTTGTATACATTTCATAAAAATTTGTTGATCTACAGCACTTAGTACGTATTTCCAAACCATTTTTATTTGGTGCACCTTCAGAATATTGTATTATTGCTTTTCCAAGAAATTATATAAATATTGAAGAGAGGATAACCACTAAAAATATTTATTTGGAAAAGTGAGAGACCATTCTAATTTGATAACCTTTTCCATTTATAGTCCTATTATTAGGGACGCAATCATCCGCTTCCCACACGATCGTCCGCTTGGGCAATCGTGCAATGGTAATAACAGCTATACCAGTTGCACACGGAAAATGCTGGGTCTGCTAAGATGGGGTAGTCAACAGAGAATTTAAAAACAAACATTAAGACAACTGGACACCAAAGTCTCAACAACATTAGCAGAGGCGGTAGGAGTGATGAATGATATAATAAAAGACTGCGCCTATCGATCTGAGAGCAACTGGGTGTGACGTCACATTATTAGGTTTGTCCCACACGCTTTCCGGGCAGTTTCAGTAATTAGAGCGTAAAAACAAGTTAATCTCTCACAAGTGTCAAAAAGGTTCCAGCACGTCTTAAAAGTGCCCAGAGCGTGAGGAACGCAAAAAACACATTTCGTGCCCGGAATCAACAAATCAGCTCAAAACAAGGATTTTATATGTATTTATCTTATATGGCTAATAAAATTAGCAAATACGTTCATTTCTGAAACAAAAGTGCAATTTTCCATTTTTGTATTTTACAAAATTTGCTTTCGGATGTAAACAAAGAACAGCACATTTCTGCCCGGAAAAGACTCCGGGCTGTTTCGGGCACGATGAAGAAGACATTTACGACCCAAAAGTGGAAGGTACTCGCTCTCTATTGACCATTTTTCTAGAGTGAGGAACGCTTTCTGGGCTGGCTTTTGTTTCCGATACATCGATGTTTGTTCTGCATCCTTACTCCTTTAGGCCCGTCAGAAGAGTTTGCGTTCGAATTTCCCTTAGAAAACTTGATGAAGCCTCAGTTTCAATATCCAATTCGTCTTCTTCATAGTTTTCTAACGAAGTTTTCAGAATGCCACCGAAGAGTTTTTTTTTTTTTCTTGGCTGATAATCATCTTTCACAACTCGCAAAATTTGGTTAGAATGAGGTTAGAATTGAAAAAAAAAGACGGAATAAATTTCCGTTAATAGGAAAACATTTTTCCAATGCAGCATCAGCTTTCTAAAGCGAGAAGCGGTGCGCATTTTTGAACTGAAAGCAAATTATATTCTCTTTCTTGGAAAAATATTTCCATGGAACCATAATTACTCCCTGATTTTAAACAAATTGGCCCAAAATAGTGTTCTTCTGAAAAAACACCGGATTTCTTAAAAAAAAATTGTTTGCATTTATACCCCTCGAACAACGAGTACGTTGTAACGTTATTTAAGATCTTTAATTTGAGCCAAAGTAGAAATCTAGGCTCTGTGAGAGCCAAATTATGGAGTTATGCTGTACACACATAAAGGGTTTGTGATGTGTGGCAATATTTGCAGTTTCGTTCCACAAGGCTATCGTGCACGGCTTGTAATTTTTTAATGAAAGCGTCAAGGCAGACGAAACGGTGTTGGCATTTTTTGTGCAATTGAATTTTTTATGCAATTTCTTTCACAATATACTATACTACTACTCAAATGTTTTTAGTACAATTTTGTGGTGAATATTAAAAATATATAGCTCTGAAAATTCACAGCGGGAAATTTTTTTATTCACTCTTTGTTTTGACCTTTTCGAATTTGCTTTTGGAAGTTTTGAAAAAGTGTTAAAAATGTATTGAACGAACTATTATGACATGTGTGCTATCAGCTTCCCATTCAATTTTCGATACTAAATCTTAAAACAAAATGTCGAGATCAGCTTCAAGAAGCAATATCTTCGATAATACCACATCACATTTTTTGTTGTTCACCCTATGCCACTATCCAATTCCTATATGAAATCGCTCAGTGACTCCGAAAATCAAGTTAATTTTTTTCTCTATGTATAACTTTCTGAGATATTTTGCGAATTTACCGTTATTCAGCTTAGAAAAGAATGGTTAATCACATATATCTTTCGAACTAATTGAACGATCGTAATACGAAGTAAAGCTAGTCAAATTCTCCATAAACCGTATATACATCACTCTTCGACATGCCTGATTGTATCTGAAAAACTAATTAGTAATTCTTAATTTTATGCTTTTTTTAAATTATTCAAATTTTAACAGAGGAATAATAAAAAATTAGGATTTTTCTGTAAATTTTTTTTATTTTATATGAAAGCCTGTGTTTTTACAAAAAAAAAAGGAAGCTACCAATGAAGAAAATCGATGGATAAATAAGGAAGGAATGATTGGTCAAATGAAAATGCGCAAGAATTTTTTGTATGTAATATCAAATAAAATACCTCTTTGAGGTAAAAGTTTCGAGTGACGAAAGCTGAACTAGAAACACAAAATTTATGATATCAATTTCGTGACGAAAATCATACGCATTTTTTAACTGCTTTGAAACGGAATTTCGCAACGTTCCGAATAAATAACAAGTAAAAAAGTCTAAGTTCGGGCGGAGCCGAACATTAAATACCCGGCGCAAGTATTAAATATATGTTTTTCACCTTTCCGAAAGCTACCGCTACATGGTAAACCGAGGTGTATCCATTTTGAGTAAATTGGCGTCCTTAAATTTCGAAATATTGAAGTTTCAAGCATATCTGAAATTTACTGTTATATGAAAAGCGGCCGTAATTTTAGTTCGATTTCAATAAGTTTCAACGTTTTGCTTCTATGTGGCAAGTACAATAACCACACCGAGTTTGGTACAAATTGGTTAGCAATTTATTTGAGAAAAATAAAACATTTAGATTATTGTTTGTATTTTCATCGATTTTAAATTTGCTACCCCAAAATAATTGATATCAAATAAAACACCTCTTTGGGGTAAAAGTTTCGAGTGACGAAAGCTGAACTAGAAACACAAAATTTATGATATCAATTTCGTGACGAAAATCATACGCATTTTTTAACTGCCTGTGAAACGTACGGAAAATCTTTTTTTATACCCGAGCGCACTTGTGCACAAGGGTATTATAACTTTGTTCACATAACGGTTGTTTGTAACAGGCAAAACGAATCGAGATAGATATAGACAAATGTATACATAAATGATCAGGATGAAAAGAGAAATCGATTAAGCGGTGACTGTCTGTCCGTCCGTCCGTCCGTCTGTCCGTCTGTGCACACGATAACTCGAGTAAAAATTGAGATATCTTAACGAAACTTGGTATGTGCACTTCTTTCGGGCGTAGGACGGATGGCATTGAAAATGGGCAAAATCGGACTATAACCACGCCTACCTCCCATATAACGGTAGTTTTCAGAAATACAAAAACTGCGATATTTTAGTAACTACTGAAGATAATGCACTCAAAATTGATATTTATAATAAATTTTAGACGAAAAATAAGAATATTAACATTTTTTTGAAAATGGGCGTAGCCACGCCC